CTTTTGTCGTGATGACTTGCTTTTATTTTGTGATCGGAAAGTTTGTATACGATGATTGATTGAAGTTACTTATTGAAAACCGTGGTTGCTTTGGGGATACTTTTTAGTCGAGTTCAAACAAGAAAGAAGTTCAATTCGACTTTATGTAATAACTTGTACATGTATGTTACGCAATATCTTCGTTATAATATATAATAAATTATAATGACTTTTTTATTAACTTGGATTTTACTAAGGGATGGTCTCATATACATTGGTGAGAAAATATAGATTGAATATTTTGTTTGAAATATTATGTATATATATATATATATATATATATATATATATATATATATATATATATATATTTCTGAGTGCACTCAAAAGGGTGAAAAATTTAAGTTTTTGATAAAAAGTAACAGCCAACTAGATGAAGTTTTATACATGCGGTATACTTTTGTCTTTTTAACTTCAAATAATGCAGTCATTGGAAGATTGGTGTCTAAGATATAGGATAGGCCTTTAGACGCTAGTGCACAAAACTGTATAAATTAGAAGTTATAATATCATGTGTTCAAATGTCTTAAGGATATATAATGTTAACCTTACTTTGTGCCAAAAACATTATAATGATAACTTTAAAGAACTAAAAAATATTAACATAACATAACATAAACACTCACGCCTGTCACCCAGAGGGGTAGGCAGAGACTAGTCGCTCGCGTCCGTAGGCTTCGACCACCTAACCCTAGGCCCACATTACACGCGTCCCTCGGGTGGTGCTAAACGAGCGACAAAGCCGAAAGGATAGACTCGGCTCCTCGCCATGTGGTAGCAGCGTAAAATCTACCAGCCCTTAGTTCGCACCATCAACCCACAAATAAAAAAAAATATTAATGTCAACATAATAGCTTCAGAATTTGTGGCTTTATTAATAATATACATATTAGTTATAATATACTTAGCACCTTCTTCTGAAGCTGTTATTTAGAAATTTTAAATGTTTGACCTGAAGCCGAGTTCGAAGAATTAAAATTTAAAATAATTAACATTATAATTGTAGTTTTATTTTTATTACGATCCTACCTGGTGGTAAATGCTGATATAGCCCAAGATGGTAAATAACACTGTCTTTCCGTAACAAAAGCCTATTCACTTTTGACTTCAAGACGTCCAGATTGTATTCGAACGAAAAGATAAACGCCAGCAAATGATGCTGCTTTGCTGTACGCATTACAAAAGACGAAGCAAACCATTTAGGTCTAATGCGTGGAATATTGACAACAAAGGGGTAAAGACCCGCATTCTGCCTGGTATTCCGATGGTGGGAAGGAGAGGGAGGAATGAAAGTATGTAATTCCTGCGCACACTCACCGAAATGTGTACTATAGAATACCGAGAGGCTGACTACTCTGCGCCTGTGCTCAAGGCTGACAAGATTAGTTTCAACCAAATTAAGGTTACCAATGAGCCTCTAAATACGTCTTTTCTACTAGGTGAAACAAGCTCATACGTGACAGCAGTACTCCATGCACGACCGGACTTGCACTTTATATAAGGTAAGAAGCTACTCCGGCTGTAAGTAACGCCGCACCATAGTTTAATTAATTAATAAAAAAATATTTTCAACTAAAAGGTCACTATTACGACTAAGATAGGATACCTCATAGCCAGTATTTATAAATTGAATAACAGCAGACACATCAAGTTTTCTTGCAATGTTTTCCTTCACCAATCAGCACGTAGTAAATCAGCATTTAAATGAAAAATAACCCTTTTATTAGTATCAGCGGTGATCTTATTTAAACTTAATAAATGAAACGCGGCAATTAAATTAAAACAATATCTATTATAAACCGTTTCTGAAATTTCATGCAAATATATATATTTTCCTTATTATCGTTGTTTGCAAGTTTCATATTATCTTTTGTTAACACTAAGAGATGGGATACAGCATCCTTTTGTATTTTACACACATAGTATTCCGTGACGGCCGACCAGCCTGAATAATTAAACTACTAAGGCCTGCAATAATTAACTGATTAATTATTAATTTCGAATGGGCTGCTTTTATAATTAATTATGTAAGTACAAGTTATGTAATTTGATCAATAATTTGCGTGAAACAACATTTATATGTACTTAAAATAAAGACATCGTAGATAAAAGGTGAAATTACCTGGCTGTTATGCAGGTCTTGGGTTCAAACTAATATGAGGACTGTTTTTTTTTTTGCAAAATTAAAATGGTGTTCTTGTTTTGTTTTGTAAAGTGAATTATGTGTCCCATAGTCATCTGTCATCCCTGTGGACTAAGACGGAATGTCTCCTCACCAGTAAAATGTGTCTCTTGTTCTCTACGTTCACCATACGAAACACATCAATGTTATTTTGCTCTTTTACTCATACGCTGGTATTCTGTAAGAGCCTGGTCCTACCGCGGTCAAAACGACCTACTTGTGCTGCTGACATGGTAGAGCTGCTATGTCGCTCTACCACAAGGGTTTATTTGTTTGCTTAAAACTATTTGGGCCTTGTTCAAGTGTTACAAATGCACTCTTTTTGTAAATATTCTTCTTCTTCATAATCAGCCTGTAAAAATCCACCTTTGTTTATGAGTTAGCAATGGCAATACGGTTCTGTTTACCGGTAAGATTTACCTTAATCGACACGGTTGGTTTGATTATCAGAAGCCCTAACACTTTTCTAGCATTTTTCCTAGTACGTGCCCACAAGATGGAATTGGTGATGGATTTCTCATTTGCTAGTGTACGTTTTTGTGTAAATATATTTAAAAATAAGAGTCTTGACTGGAAGTTTATCGACCAAATTGGCGATTTATTGAAGATGAACCACATTAAGATTACCCTTAACTGTTGAGAATGTATGCGTATAGATATGGATGTAAAGAAGGTGATAGAGGTGTTTCTTTTTATAGAAGAGTAGCCCCCTCTCCCCCCAAGCATGCGGCTCACTTGATGATAAGTGACTACCGCTGCCCATGAACAACCGCAACACCAGGGGAATTGCAGTTGCGTTGCAGGCCTTTTAGAAAGGTGTAAGCTCTTTTCTTGAAGGTTTTTTTTATAGGATAGGGTTACAAACGAGCACACAGTCCACCTGATGGTAAGTAGTTGCTGTGACCCATAGACATCTATATTTATCCTTGTTTGCGAATCAAAATGCACCTGCGTTGTTCACCCGTGAGGACTAAGATGGAATGCCTCTTTTCCAGTAAAATGGGTCTCCGGTTCTCTACACTCACCATACGAAACAGCAGTGTTAAGGTGCTAGTTTACGCTGGTATTCTGTGAGAGTGTGGTCCTTCCCCGGTCGAGCCGACCCATTCGTGCTACAACTATACTACTAATATAGCTGCTGCATTGCTCTACCACGTATCAGGTCCTTAAGTTGTGTCGGTCCGGAAAAATCGCCGGTGGTAAACAATTTCACAGAGAAGTTGTATGAGGAAGAAAACTCCTAGTAAAACGCACCCAGCACCAAGCATCCAGATGGTGAGGATGGTATCGTGAATTTTGACGCGATGTGCGTTCGTGAAATTTGGCGGCTGGAATTAATCCGAACAATTCCTCAGATCACTCCCTGTGGTAAATTCGATAGAAAATGCAAAGCGATGCAACATCCCTACGCAGTGCCAGTGTATCGATCCGAACAGGATGAACTAGGTCGTCAACGATTCGAACCGCTCTGCGCTGGATGCGTTCAAGTAGGAGGAGCTGGCACTGGGGTGCCTCGGCCCAGAGATCAGAACAGTATTCCATGTGAGGCCGGATTTGCGCTTTGTAAAGTTGCAAGCGATGTGCCGGCATGAAATACTGTCTCGCTCTGCTGAGCACGCCGAGCTCTTTAGAGACCAATTTGGCCTTCCCTTTCAAGTGACCACGAAACTGCACACTATTCGATATGTCGACGCCGAGGATTCCGATGCTAGCTGAAGCAGCAAGGGGAGTTTCTTGAAACTGAGGAGATACCACAAAGGGGTCTCTTTTTAGCGGTAAGCCCATAGGAAGGAAGCTTCAAGCTTGTGTCAGGCTCATGCCAAATGGTAGTCTCTGCCTACCCTTCTGGATGACTGGCGTTAGTGATGATGTTTATGTTTATATAATAGTCTAAAAACTGTACGGTACGTGATCAAGCCAAGTTCGAAACCCACCAGAACTAATAAAGACGTTAATTGTATTTTAATTGGGTGCTTATTTGCAATGAGAAAAACAGTATGCTTAGAAATTTAAAAAAAAACGCTATTATGTGAAATCCGCCATGCACGTAGCGCAGGTGATACTGCTCAGAGTATTTTACACCTGGCACAAACAAAATTATTATAACGTTATTTATCAAAACCCAAAAGACCATTTTGCCATATCCCACAGTCACCACTTACGATATCTACATAATATAATGGGGCAATGGATTGTCTTACGCTGAAATAACACGGCACTAAATGTTTAACTATGTATATTTTTTATTTTTTTTTATCTTATAGAATAAACATGATAAACGAGCACACAACCCACCTCCAGTAGATGCTGCGCCCAATAGATATCCAAATACTTACTTGGATTAAGAATTAAAGTGTAGATTCGCTGTCATCCCAGAGTACTTATATTGAATGCCTTTATATAGTAAAATGGGTATCTAATTCTTTACACTCACCATATGAAACAGCAGCATTAAAATGTAATTTTACGCTGATATTTTGTGAGAGCGTGTCCCTTCCCCAGTCAAGCCGATTCATTCTTGCTACAACTATAATATAGCTGCAAAAAGATTATTTAATTGTAAAGTTCAAAATAAATTTCCAGACAAAAATGTGAAAGGAGAGATTATAATCTAAAATTTCACAAATTAAAAGGGCGTCTTTAATTTCTTGCAGATAGTTCTATCTGTGCAGATTTTTAAAGCAACCCCTCTTACCCGGAGACAAAAGTGTACTTCACACCAGCGGGTTTCTCAGAATCAAGTGGCCTATTGTTCTTTGGAATAATATGAGCCGCCATTTTGGGGTTAGATAGCGTAGTAACACGTTTTATTGCAGCGCAGTATGGGCATTACGAGCTTATACATGATATAAATTTTATTACCGTAACATTAATAACGCCGAGAGTGCTTATAAAACTGTTTAACAATGTCATGATTTCTTTTATGTTTGTTTTAAAAAAATATATTATAGTGTATTTGTGTAATATTTTTTACTTAATCAAAATAACTCAAGAATAGCTTTCAGCTTTGTAAAACGTCACTATGCTTGGCTTGAAATTTTATTTTTAAAAACTGTAGTAAACTTTTTTGAGACCTAGAAAAAATTAATGAAGTGTCAAAAAAGTAAAAGTAAGTGTCAAAGTAGAAAAAAGTCAGGAACCAACTAGAAAACAGAAGTTCAGCGACCAAATTAGCGATATATTGAAGATGGGCCAAATTAAGTGTACCTATTGTGTGTAGCTGCCGAGCATGTTATGCGTCAATGTATGGATGAGGAAGAGAGAACGAGAGAGTTGTGTCAGGATCGTTACAAATAGAAGTTCGTATTTCCTGCCTACACTACAGGTTTATAATATCCTCTTGGCTATGCCACGTCATCTTGTTCTTATTTTCTTCTGTTTCATGTTTTGACCTCAATATCATCAGTGGCAGTAATGAGTGTTCTTTTGCGAGAATTTTTAGTCTAACAACCCTGATATTATAAAAGTGGTGATCCAGACATGTTTGCAAACTGCAGATTTACAAGAACATGGGTACTGCTAAGCACGTGGGAAAATAAAAAAAATAGTTTTATATGATTGTTATTGAATAAATCAAGACATGAATAACCAATTTCAAAACATTTGTTTTTTTTTTTTTTTTTTATAGGAGAGGGGGCAAACGAGCATGCGGTTCACCTGATGGTAAGTGACTACCGCCGCCCATGAACAACCGCAACACCAGGGGAATTGCAGATGCGTTGCCGGCCTTTTAAAAAGGAGTAGGCTCTTTTCTTGAAGGTCCCTAAGTCGTATCGGTCCGGAAAAATCGCTGATGGTAATCGATTCCACAAGGAAGTCGTGCGAGGAAGAAAACATCTTCTAAATCGCACAGTGGTGGACCGCCAATCATCCAGATGATGTGGATGATATCGGGATATATGTCTGTCTGTCTATCGGTCAGCCTGTCTGGGTTAACCTTAAAAATAGACGAGCCGACTGCAATGAAACTTCGTGAACAGATAGGGACCAACAGTTAGAATGAGTTGGGATAGGATGAGATGAGATGAGGTGGGATAGAATGAAATGGATTTGAATGGATTTGAAAGATTAAGACAATATAGGATAGGATAAGATAGTATATAATAAAATAAAATAGAACAAAAATTTATTCAATCAATATTACAAGTAATACTTATGAAAGTCATTCATGCTTTTACCACAGATTCGAAGGTAGCTTTCTCGGAAGAACCCAGTGTTACTTAAAAAATATTAATTTAAAATATACTATGCTGTACAATTAAATAATGAAACAATTAGAAACAGTATGATAATGATCAACTTATTCCCACAAGCTTGGTGGGAATTAGATAATCGCTTGAATAATTACATACTATTAGATGTATCGTTTAATTCTACAGACATGAGAAGTCATGATTGACTTCTTATTTTTTTAAATTGGTAGCAGTTTCTATAGTCACTTACGAGTGTAACTTACAGACTACCTGATGAGGTAGGCTGTTCGTTTTCCAATCCAAAATTAGGATATAAAACATGACACATTTTCAAATTCTGGAGAATTGACGAGCCTTGGACCTCAATTTTGGAGTAATCAAATCAAAACAAATCATTTATTTAAACGCTAAAAACATGGGTACAGACGGATGGATACAGAGTCAATATTTGTTTCCGCATATTTTGCCTTTCGTGGCATGCGAAAGAAATTGTTTAAAATAAATGTGTTCAGAACAAATGAACTAAAATTAGAAATAAACACATAATATTCCAGTATGTCACTACCACTTTGTAATAATTACATTTATGTTTTTAGAAGAACATAACAAAATTAGAAAAATAACTTTTAATTCAATTACGAAGTAACACGCAAATTCCTGGATCTATAGTAACTTACTTAGTTAACTAGACTAAACAAAATCAATAAAAAATTAAAAGCAAAATCAAAATTTATATTTAAAGAAATAGCTTGGCGTGCTCCGCAGAGCAAGACAGTATTTCATGCCGGCACATCGCTTGCAACTTTACAAAGCGCAAGTTCGGCCTCACATGGAATACTGTTCTTATCTCTGGGCCGGGGCACCCCAGTGCCAGCTCCTTCCACTTCACCGCATCCAGCGCAGAGCAGGTCGTATTGTTGACGACCGAGTTCCTTCTGGTTGGCTCGATTCACTGGCGCTGCGAAGGGATGTTGTATCCCTTTGCATTTTCTATCGCATTTACCACGGGGAATGCACTGAGAAATTATTTGGATTAATTCCAGCCACCAAATTTCACGAACGCACATCGTGACAAAATTCACGATATCATCCACACCATCTGAATGCTTGGCGGTCCACTACCGTGCGTTATACTAAGAGTTTTCTTCCTCGCACAACCTCGTTGTGGAATTGTTTACCATCGGTGATTTTTCCGGACCGATAATACCTAGGGACTTTCAAGAAAAGAGCTTGCTCTTTTCTAAAAGGCCGGCAACGCACTTGCAGTTCCCCTGGTGTTGCAGTTGTTCATGGGCAGCGGTAGTCACTTACCACCAGGTGAGCCGCATGCTCGTTTGTTCCCTATATCATAAAAAAATATTTTGTAATGCGCGATGGCAAGTCCAAAACATTCACGTTTATATCCAGAGTTATATCCAGTGTCTATAACCTGAACAGAGGTATCAAATTTCACAATTTAAAAAAAAATCCAGATTGCTGCAGATACATTTTTTATTTTATGTTTTTCTGAGTGATCGAGGTGCCCCCGTTAGTACCTGTGGCGATATCTATTACTTACCGGACAGCCTTTATATAATTGTTAGTATGTCTGTTAGTTATCGTGTAACTTCTCAACAATTTTAAAGATTGACATCATATTTACACAATATAATAGTTTTGTTTTATCGAGACGACAGTACATAAATATACTAGATTCCAACTGGAGGCGCTTTACTCGAATTATAACAAAAATCAAGCACAAGGAAAGGAGGTGTTCAAAATATTATCGAATTGCATTAATTTATTAAAGAGAAACGTATACTTGGAAGCATAGGATCCAAAGCAAAGGAAGGAGGAAGGTTTGTTTAGTTAAAATAAACTCCTTCTGCTAAATTTGTCATACGATATAAATAAGTTTCTAAGAATTTAGTTTTCTTTCTACTATAGAAACATTAAAATTTTATGTTTCTATTATTGTAATTATAAAATTAATTCTCTGTAATTATAAAATCTAACTACTAATTTAGTTGACTGCTTAGTGTTTAATAACTTTCTTCAAGCAATTTCATCACTATAAGAAGGCTTGTGTCAAGAAAAAGGAGACAATTATAGTTTTACTTTAAGATGTGAAACTAATCTTATTTTTCTGAACAACGTTATATTTCAAAATGTGAAAATTATTTAGTTAATATCAGCGTGGAAAATAACGAGTTAGCAGTAAGCCATCGTAAGGGTCTATTTCTCGTGATGATGAAGCGTCTAGAGGCAAAATACGTATCGTAAAATTAATCGTGGTGTGTGTTTCCTTGTACAGTAGTTTTGGGTTTGGTGTAGTGATAATGCACACAATTCTGGGAGAAGGAAGATGTTATTCAAACCAGATATGACACTCCTTTTTCTTTTTCACTTGGACCTTAGATAACTTATTTTTATATCTTTATTAAATTTCCGCAAAAAATATAATATATAATTATAATATCGGCATTAATTTATATTTAACTAGCTGACCAGGCAGACGTTGTTCTGCCCTTTTCGACGACTCTTCATAGAAAAAATCCTTAAATTCGTAATAAAAAATATTGAGCGTCACTTATCAGGATAAAAACTATCCTATCTCTCAAGTTGAACCAAACTGCACAGAGTGTGCAAAATTTCATTGAAATCAGTTCAGTAGTTTGGGAGTTCATCGCGGACAAACAACGTGACGCGTAATTTTTATATATAAAGATTTACTTTGCACTGGTAACGTGGTAGCTCACGATTTGGATGTCTTAAGTTTCACAGTTCTCAAGTAACCTCTTTCTTAAGTAACTAACTGGCATACGGTCCTCTACCACTTGATCAAAGGTAAAGGCAACCATAGTATGTAAACTCAGCAAAGTCATGTGAAATTTGCAGACACGAGTTGGAAAAGAAGAATACTCCACTGTGACATTTCTCTGTCCTAAAAACCTAGAAAAACAAAAGAAACCCAAGGAAAAAATTGATTGCCATTCTAAACGCAGACCGGAGGCTGATGATGGTGACGCAATTGAAGTGTTTTGATCCATATTTGAGGATAGATGTAGATGTCTATGGTCCACAGCATCCACTTACCATCAGGTGGACTGTGTGCTCGTTTGTCACCTTTATCATATAAAATAAATAAATAAATAAGTAGTTACATCATTAACATGTGTGTGCTTGGCGGCGAAGGAAAACGTCGTATGGAACAACGAATGTGTAAGGAATAAATATACTTCGAAATTTTCTAACACAAGTGGGGTTTGCCAACACACAACGGGTAAGCGCGGATTAAGAGCGTTTCTTCCCTGGCCAATACAGAAAACGATACGAACAGCGACACCGATAATATCTAGAAGCTTTTTCATTTAAAGACATGGTACCGATATCGTAGTGATAGTCCAGAACTTTAATTTCTTTCTTTCTTTCTTTCGTATATTCAAGTGACGCTGAAACCAAATAAAACCACACTCAACCTTTATGCATTTGCATCTAAAATTATTGACAACCAGTAACATGATTTTAGGTGTATGTTACATATATGTTTACTGTAGTGGACTTTTACGAAGCCGTGTGCGTGAGGGCGTGTTATCTTTATCACTCATATCTAATAACATTTGCTTCACCTATAGCGTAAAAACGAAAAATTATTAAACGGTTTTGGTTGCATCAAATCATTTGATTCAATAGTTATAGTAAGGCACGTTGAAGGAGCTCTAACTTTATATTCAAGAAGCTAGGAGAAGATCTTATAAAATTTTACATTTATCGACAAAATTCGATTTTTATGTGATAATATATAGTGTCGTGTCGTTCAGTAAAAAGCGTCATAGGTAGCCCTGTACACTTCAGTGCACCGATATCGAATGAATCTAACTGTCTCATAATCCTTTGAGGGTCTGTGTAAAATGAGAGTAATTCTATGTCCAGCTACGGGACGTAGATTGACTGTAAAATTCCTTTACTTTTTCACTAATATTGATATTATAAAAATGTTTGATAATATATATATATTTGTATACTCATAATTTTTTGCATTTAATTACTTGGTTCCAGCTTCCTACAAGTATAATTTCCTTAATTAGCATGATTTTTCACTTCACTCAGGTATTACTCCCCTGCCGATTTTAATGGTTAACGTTCTTTGTTCTGTACATAAGTACGCTTAACATCACCACGTTTCTTGCATTAAAGTGGTTAGGGAAGTGAAAGCCGCCATTTAAATTGTAGTCTATGAAACTGCAATTGCAACTACACAAGTTTCGAACTTTATGGTAAAGTACGCAACTTTTTCTTTTTGAAGTTTAACTTATTTATATAGTAAATTAATAATACAATATTTTTATTCATATTGCAAATATTTTGTAAAAATAATGACCTCCTAATCGCATTTCAGTCAGGCTCAACGGAGACTACCTAACTGCGCCAGACTTTCCACTCTCTATTCCCTCACCCTCGTAATCCGATGCGACGGCAATCCAACACGCCCAGAAAGATCAGGCACAGGGCCTTTCACGTGCTTTCCGGGGCACGGAAGTAATACACCGCCATCTTTAATGACTCCAACTGCTACTGAGAATTTCTTGATAGAAAAACCTAGTGACTAATTTAGGCTTGATCCAAGATTTGAACCCGCGATCTCATAACCAGCAGTGCGTATACGACCACTATACCAAAGAGCTTATCATTTGGAAAGATATTATACAAATAAGAGTATGTTTAAAAAAATGTCGTTATTCGCGTGTTTCTTTACATCGTGAGAAATCGGAAATTGAATATTCCATATATTAGTCGCTGAGCTAGGACCCATTTGTGAAATCACATTTTGAAAATTGATTTTAAGATTATGTTACTTTTTTTTGTAATATGTTACTTTGTACCTAGTTTATTTCACTGAATTTACCTGTGCGATTGGTGAAACAAATATATACTTTATCTATATATTTATCTATTCATATCAAGCTGAAAAAGAGTACGTCTGTAGTCTGTACATGTAATCTAATTTATAAAAAAATAGTTTTTGTTTGTTCGTATTTTATGCGCTGTCGTACCGTTCACCAGAGTAGAGTAAAACTTTGTAAACGTATTGATTGCACATTCGCGATGGTTATAGGCATAGTACAATTAAATTACAGTAGGTAGCGCACGTATCGTACCGACAAATTTATTTCTAAGTTTTTTATCATTCGACTTCAATGAATATAGAATATTATCATTCATAATTAAACAATATAATAAGTCTAAATTTAAAACGATATTTCCCTAATTATTTTGTCTGCGGCAGCAACGCGCCGTGTACCAGCTAGTCTTATATACCTACATAAAAATTAATTTTTGTTTGTTGGTATTTAATGCGCTGCCATGCCGTTCATGAGATTACGCTAAAACTTTGTCAACTTATTGCTTGCACACGTGCGAAGGTTATATGCATAGTACAATTAATTTACAATATGTAGCGCGCGTATCGAATCTACAAATTTATTTGAAATTTATACATCACTCAACTTCAATGATTTAATTAACATTTTTAATTAAACAATATAACACTTCAAAATTTAAAACGATAGTCCGAGAAGTATTTTTTCTATGGCAGCTAGTAACAATATAATTTTCCTGGTGTAATGAAAATTTACCACTTATTCTATTCTCGGTGGATGGACTGACTTTCGCAGTAACAGACGTTTCGTAACTTTTGGCATTGTCCATATTTACGACACCCACGGGACTAAAGTGTCGGTTGGAGGGGCCAATGATATTTAACGCCACCACAACATGGTAATTGAATATCACACACATACAATACAATACAAAAAGAAAGTCCCACAGAAACCTAAATTAAGAATGCTCTTGGCATTATCTACGTTTCTTCAAACCCAAACCTTCATTTTTTTTAAATAACAAATGTTTTTGATGCAAAACTTTATAAGGACCCGACAAATTGCCTTTTGAAAACTTTCCTTGTCTTGAGTAATTGTAAGAATTCGTCGCTGTTATGCCCTTTGGCAAATGATATGAATGTAAATTTGTATGTTTTAATTTTATATTCATTAATGATTGCCTTTGAAACAATATATACAAATTAAAATATTGCAGCATAACATGATTTTATTGGTTGGGAATTTTCTACCACTCATAATCGGTCGCGGTTTTCCCGGACTAATTGACCAATATACCGATTACACCTTTAAGAAGGGAACATACAACATAATGTGTTCTTCTATCTAAAATGAAATTGGCAATTTTCCTTGTGTTATTTTTCATAAAAGACTCGTTTGGTTAACTATATAAGTACCTATTTTCTACATTACATGACATTCATGAAACAGTAATTACTTAGCAGCAAGTGGCAGCCTCGTACCGGTAGGCGAAGTGTAGGGCGTCCCCCCACGAGATGGAGTGACGACCTGGTAAGACATGCAGGAAGTTGATGGATGCAGGTGGCTCAGGACCGTGCTTTGTGGCATTCTTTGGGGGAGGCCTATGTTCAGCAGTGGACTTGTGAAGGGCTGTAATGATGATGATGATGATATATATATATATATATATATATATATATATATATATATATGTGTGTGTGTGTGTGTGTGTGTGTGTGTGTGTGTGTGTGTGTGTGTGTGTGTGTGTGTGTGTATGTGTATGAATATATATATAGGTATATATAAAATTATTTTATTAAATAATTATTTAAAAAAAATTGCTATAGAAATCAGCCTGTATATGTATAGTATACCGTACACGCTCATCGCGGTAAACTATCGAAACCTGTTCGTCGTCATGACACTAATACAATGAATAGGTTGTTAGT